GTGACCCAGGTGTCCCCAGCTGTCCCCAAGGTGTCCCCAGGTGTGTCCAGGTGTCCCCAGCTCTCCCCAGCTGTCCCCAGCTGTCCCCAGGTGTGCCCAGGTGCCCAAGGTGTGACCAGGTGTGACCCAGGTGTCCCCAGATGTGCCCAGGTGTGACCCGGGTGTCCCCAGGTGTGCCCAGGTGTCCCCAGGTGTGTCCCCAGGTGTGCCGAGGTATCCCCAGCTGTCCCCAGGTGTGACCCAGGTGTCCTCAGGTGTGCCCCAGCTGTGACCCAGGTGTGACCTGAATGTCCCCAGGTGTCCCCAGGTATCTCCAGGTGACCACGGCCACCAACCCTGGGGACATCTGGTCCAGAATTCTGAGGGTTCTCGTGGTCCTCGAGGGTCTCAGGTGTGCCCTGACCCCTCACCTGTGTCCAGGTGATCGTGGCCACCAACCTGGGCACACCTGGGCACACCTGGATCGGGATTTCCAGGGGGTTTTTTGGGTTTTATGGGGTTTTTTGGGTTTTTGTGGGGTTTTTTGTGTAGTGTGGGGTTTTGGGACCTCACCTGTCCCCACGCGTGTCCTCACGTGTCACCTGTGCCCAGGTGATCATGGCCACCAACCTGGGCACACCTGGGCACACCTGGGCACAGCTGGCTCAGGATTTTTAGGGATTTTATGGGATTTCATGGGATTTTATGAGGTTTTGGGACCTCACCTGTGCCCACGCGTGTCCTCACGTGTCACCTGCGCAGGTGATCATGGCCACGAACCGCGCGGACACCTGGGCACACCTGGGCACACCTGGGCACACCTGGATCGGGATTTCCAGGGGTTTTAGGGGATTTTATTGGTTTTTTGGGGGTTTTATTGGGGTTTTTTGGGGTTTTGGGGGTGGGTTTTTAGGGTTTTGTGGGGTTTTGGGGATCTCAGGTGTGCCCTGACCCCTCACCTGTGCGCAGGTGATCATGGCCACGAACCGTGCGGACACCTGGGCACACCTGGGCACACCTGGCTCAGGAATTATGGGATTTTTTGGGGGGTTTTATTGGGTTTTTTGGTGAGGTTTTGTGGGGTTTTGGGGATCTCAGGTGTGCCCTGACCCCTCACCTGCACCCAGGTGATCATGGCCACGAACCGCGCGGACACCTGGGCACACCTGGGCACACCTGGATCGGGATTTCCAGGGATTTTTTTGGGTTTTTTGGGGTTTTTGGGGCGTTTTCTGGGGTTTTGGAATCTCACCTGTCCCCACGCGTGTCCCCACGTGTCACCTGCGCAGGTGATCATGGC